ATTTGATTGGCCAGAACATGTCACTTGCACCCGTGACGCGGTTTCATTAGCCTTTTAATTTGGCTTGTCATGCCTTATCATTTTGACATATGGCACAATCTTATTGGCTCTTTCGTTTGACTTGGCGTGCCAGATTATTTGACACGTGGCATCAAAATGGGCCTCTAGGAAAATTGACATTTTGGGCTTAATGAAATGGGTTCATCATTTTAGCCCCAATTAAATGGGCTAGCTCAATGAATTTGGACTTATTTATTTAATCCATGTGTATTGGACTTATATAATTAATCCAATTATATTAGCCGATAATATTTATTTGGACTACTACATTTAAAATATAGTCCAAATTACTTTTTGAATTTTGTTTCGATAAAACAGATATGCTTACATTTACATCTTACTACTATTTTTCAAAGATCAACACTCTAATTTGGATGGTTCTGTGATGATCTTATTTTCTTTTATCTTGATTACCACAAATTTTATGTGGATCAATGTTGTATTTGTATAAAATAATTGGATTGTAGCGAGGATTCTTCAAAAAAGCACGAGCTAACTCGAAGATCTGGAATCTTGGCTTAGTAATGAACGAAGGAATGCTTTTCGAGCTTTTACACCAATATCTTATATAGTAGTATTTGATGGAATCCAAAAGTTCTTAGTTTTGACAAGCTTAAATGATCAAAATTACTAAAGATATATGTAAGGTATAAATTACAACTAAATATCTGCTTTAAGAACCTCTGTTTAAAACATATTCAGCTTTTAAAATATTATTTAAAGTTTAACCAGCTTTAATAAACTACACAGGGCTTATACAATTACTGGTGTTGCTGCTACTTCTTATTCTTTAGAAAATTGCCTAAGCCTAACTTTGGACTCAAATGTCTAGAATTTGAAACTTTAAACGGGCAATTTCAACTTCAAACTCGACTTTAATGCATAAAAGTAAGGTGAAAAGGAAAAGTAAAAGGTAAGTCACAGACAATAACCGTTTTGCTAAAGTTTCACGATCTCTATCTTTGTTATAAGGACGTAGTATACTACCAGAAGTAAGGTGAAACTGTTGTTGGAGAAAGTTAGAACCCCCGCCAGATCCAGTAGAAGCGTCAGTACCGCTGCTAAGATTCGGCATTTTTACGACATCTATTTGAGCTTGTATCCATAAAGGTTTGTGTTCCTTAGCTAAGTGCTTGGTTAAACCTCCATCCACCCGATTCTCCATGTGCAAATCGTACCTTACATTTTGCATATATAGCAACTCTGTTGACTTTATCATGTTCAAAAAAAAATTTCCATATAGGTGATGTTTCGTACGTTCAGCCTTAACCTTACCCCTTACAGGAGGTACAAGGGGTAAAGCTTCAAACCGAAATTGACTCTGAGTTGGAACTTGTGTTGTTGGACTAGTGGGTGTTTCGTCTAATACTTCTTCCTCAATAAAATATCATTGTCTTTGTAAAGTTTCATGATCTAGTTGTTCTCCCAAATTAATATTATGCGGAGGATCGGGAAAATGAAATTTCATCAACATGAGTCATTTCATCTATATGTTTTCGAATTCTACGAGAATGATTAGGATTAATACAACTAGCACCTTTACTACTTTTTAACTACTTTTTTATTTTTAAAAATGGATGGGGTATGGCAAATACACTTTTAGGTGTCATAATTTTAAATACGAAAATAAATTAGAAAAATTAATACAAAATTTAAAAACGCAAATGAAATACGAAAATAGAACACGTAATAAACAAAAAAAATAATGCACTAAAATGGTACGCAAAAATTAAATATTAAAATTAGGAGATGGAATGAATGCACCGTGATTAAATATTGAAACTTGAAGAAATTGCCCAAAAAATTGCTCCAAATACTTGACAAATTAATTTGAAGCTTGAAAGTTGCTCCAAAATTTTCCCAAATACTTGAAACGTAGTTGATTGTGAGAAAATTGAGAGTAGAACATAGATAGAATGTAAGAGATTTGAGAGAGAATAATTAATTTTTGTGGGAAAAATAAAGAAGGATGGGGGTATTTATAGTTTAAAATAGGAAAATTTTTACATTAGAACAATTGAGCTTCACATTAGAACAACTGAGCTCCCTACATTTCAATTTTATAGCTCATATTTCAATTTACAATCAACTAGCCCAAAAATAATAGGCTAAGATTCAACATTCAACTCCAATGGGTTTTCAAAATTACTATTTAATTTTTAAAAAATATTCCTCAAGCTTTTAAGTTAATTTTCGAATCAGTAACTATGACTCAAATATTAGTTCAACAAACCAAATTCATTTGGGTGGTGAAAATTAGATTTTTAACAAGCTTAAGTATGTGGGTTTAAATTTCAAATTTGATTTTATGAGAAATTTGGAGTGTGTGTTATTTAGACTTGTTAGAAATCGTATAAGGAGGTCGTATATAAAATTTGAAGTCATTTAATGGAGATTTGGACTAGTTTTGAACAAAAATTACAATTGAAAATCGTGAAAGAAGTTCGTCTACAGACGCTAGTATAAAGGTGTATAAGGTGTGTTTCTACACTCATATACATTTTTTTGGTAATTAAACTTTGTATTACCAGGGAAAATATTTACAAGTAAATCAAACCCTTACAATATGACCTTCTTTCCTATACTTCACCCCCTCCCCTTGTACTGCTATTTACATTTGTATCTACCTATTACACTGGGTACCAATCTAATCTATGTAGTATTCCCGCTGTATGCTTGGTACTTCGACAATGTATCTCCTGAATGATTCTCTTACTCACTGCTTCCCAACCTGTCTCCTTTGCTTGAAAAATTTGGTATTCATTTCTTGCCAAACATGGTATATTGTTGCTGCTACTGTCATTTTATACAATTCTGCAGCAGCTGTATTTCTTTTAGTCTTTCTTTCAGCCCAACGTAGTTCCTCATCCCAGCCAGCTATAGGTCTTCTAATTCCTTGCCATGTTAGCAGTGTGCTCCATAATGCCTTTGCATATGTGCATTCAAAGAACAAGTGTTGTATAGTTTCATTGGCTTGCTTGCACAAGACACACTCCTGGTCCACCTACATCCCCCACTTCTGCAGCCTATCCATTGTATATAGCTTCCCATGAGCTGCCACAGTTAGCATAAATGTCCATCTTGGGCATCCTGTATTGTGGCAGACTACCCTCCTCAACTAACCTTCTCAAATCTTCCACGTAGCCTGTGATATATGTTTTTGATTGAGCAACTTTGCATGTTCATAATGTCTTCATAGCTTAGCCCTGCTTCCATGAATGTCTCCTTTGCTTTTATGATCTTCTGCACCATCCAAGATGCTTGTTTCAGTTGAACATCCCATATGTGTCTCCCTTTGATGTAATAACTGTGTATCCATTGGATCCACAGTTTCTTTTTCTCCTTGCATAAGTTCCAGAATTGCTTGCAGATGGCAGCCTTGTTCCACATAGCTATGTTCATTATGTTGAAGCCTCCTGCAGATTTAGGCAAACAGACTTTATCCCATGCCAATAGTGCCTTTTTTGATATACTTCCATCTCTAGTCCACAAAAAACTCCTACACATTGCTTCAATTAACTTTGTAATCTTTTTAGGCAATACAAAGATTTGTGCCCAATATGTCTGTATAGAAAACAACACAATCTTGATCAGTTGGACCCTGCCAACATAAGATAGAAATTTGGCAGTCCATGATTCTATTCTTCCCATTATCTTGCCAATTAGAGATTGGCACTGAGATATGGATATTCTTTTTGAACTTAGTCGGGCACCTAGATACCTTACTGGCAGCTCACCCTTTTTGATTCCTAGGAACTCTGTGATTTCCTCTTGATCAGTTTGTGTTACTCCCCCAAAGAAGATAGAACTCTTGTGTTTGTTGATCACCAGGCCAGAGGCATTTGAAAACTCCATGAAGCATTGTAACAAAAGCTTTATTGAAACTATATCACCCCTGCAAAACAATAAAAGGTCATCAGCAAACCCCAGCTGCAAGATTTTCATCTTTGCACACTTAGGGTGGTAGTTAAAATCTGGGATTTGGTTCAGTGTTTTGAGGATTCTTGTTAAATATTCCATTGCTAGAACAAACAGAAATGGAGACATAGGGTCTCCTTGCCTTAACCCCTTCTTAGCCTCAAATGGTTTTGTCAGGTTCCCATTTATCATCACAGTATAAGTAACAGTCTCCATGCATGACAATNACATGCCAATCCACTTCACAAATTTGTCTAGGAAAGCCAGTGCATTTAGAACTTGTTCCATGAATGGCCATTCAATGGAATCATAGGCTTTCTGTATGTCCAGTTTCATCATACATCTGGGTGATACTCCTCTCCTTCCATAGCCTTTCACTAGTTCATGACTTAGGATTATGTTATCAGTTATCACTCTTCCAGACACAAAAGCTGATTGTGTGTTATCTACTAAGTCATCCATAACTTTCTGCAATCTCCTAGTTATAACCTTAGAGATCACTTTATACAGAACTGTGCAACATGAGATAGGCCTATATTCTTTAACACTCACAGGGTTTCTGACCTTAGGCACTAAGGTTATTGCTGTACAGTTGATAGGTTTGTGCATCTGTACTATTTCAAAGAATTCCATCACTGCCATTGTTATATCTTCCCCTACAATCTGCCAAGTCTTTTTGAAAAATAGAGCATTAAACCCATCATAACCAGGTGCTTTAAGATCACTGATATCCTTCATGGCTTACCACACTTCCTCTTTTGAGACTATCTTTATTAGCTGAACCTGTTGGTCTCTATTTAAAGTTGTTCCCAACTTCATGACATTTGGGTTGATGGCTGGTATGCTTTCAGCTCTTGATCCAAGCAATTTTTTATAATATCCTAGTATCTCTGCTTCTATATCATCCTCCATAATAAGCTGAGTTCCCACCTCATTTGTTAAACTTTGAATTCCATTCAAGTGATACATGTTCTTCATTTGTGCAATAAAAAATAGGCTGAATTAGAGTCTCCCAACTTCAACTAGTGCACTCTTGACTTTTGTCTGTATATGCTTTCTTCTAATTTTTCTAATTCACCCTTCAGTTCTTTTTCTTTGTCAATCAACTCCTTATTCTGCAGCTTTGAACTCATTTCCTCCTGTATTCCTTGCAATTCCCTCCTTAATTCTTTTATCTTGTCATCAACCCCTTTGTAATGTTGAGTGTTTAGGTTCTTGATGGCCTCCTTTACCCCTTTGAGATTGTTCCATACTTTTTGCATTCTATCATTTGTGCTTCCATCCTTCCAAGCTTCTTCTATGTGTTGCATGAACTGAGGATGTTCAGCAATACAGTTAAAGAACTTAAATGATTTGTTCTTCTTTCCTTGTGCCTGACAGATTACTAATTTTAGTGGTGAATGATCAGATACCATTGGTTCCAGTATCTGAACTTTCACATGTGGCATAGTCATCATCCAAGCTATATTTACAAGCCCCCAATCAATTCTGCTATAGGTATGATTATTAGTCCAGGTGTAGTGCCTCCCCACATACTGCAACTCATTCATCCCTGTATCCCTCATATACTCCTTAAAATCTTTTGTTTCCATATCTTGGACCTCTGTACCATATAGTCTATTTTGTGAATGTACTACAACATTATAGTCTCCCATAGCTAGCCAAGGTCCTTGTTGTATGTTGTGGATTTGCCTCATCTTGTCCCATAGCTTCAATCTATCTTTCACAGTATGTAATCCATGTACTGCTGAAAAACCAAATATAACAGCTTTTGCAATAACTCTGACTTGACCATGTATCAGTTGCTCCTCTATTTCCACTGGCTCAAATATGTATATTCTGGGATCCCACATGATCCAGATTCTGCTTTTATAGTTTACACTTGAATTGGATACCCATTCCCAACCAGGTGCTATTTTCTTGATCACTACATTCTCTTTTTGATCTTTTACTCTATGTTCTACTAAAGTTATTATTGCTTTATTGTTCCCTCTTATAAACTCCTTTATCTCCTTTTGCTTATAAGTTTTATTCAGTCCCCTCACATTCCAAGTTATCACACTCATACAGGTATAAAGTATGGGTGGTGATACAACCCTTGCACCTCTGAACTCCTCCCCTGCATAGCACTTGTACCTGGTTCATCATATGCTTGATTTTTTGCTAGACTTTAGAATCCATTGCTTCCAGATATCTCCTGGTCCTCTGCTTGTTTGGCTTTAGCTGCCCTAGCTACTCATTTTCCTAGGACAGTTATCCACCCCTCTTCCTTTCCCAGGCTATCATTGCTTGTTGGATTTGGTTCATTCTGTTGGTTAGCCACTGATGCTTCATTTTGTACATCAACCTTTTTCTCATCAGCCTTCTTCACATTATCATGTTGCCTGTCATTTCTGAGCCAGACTTGCTTATTCTTTATTATCTTCCTCTGCTGCACCACTCCCTGAGGCTGCACTATTTTAGTTTCTACACAATCATGCCCTATTTTCAAGCATTTTGTGCAGTATTTTGGCTCCCAATCATAAGTGACTTCTTGCTGGATTAACCTTCCCTTGTGATCCTGTAGCTTCACATATCTAGGTAGAGGCTTTGTAATGTCCATTTCTATCAGCATACGTGCATAAGAAATCCTAACTGACTCAGTAGCACATTCATATGCATATATTGGATTCCCCAATGTGCTTCCTATCTTGCTTAAAGCCTTCATACCCCAGCAATTTATGGGTAAGTTTGGAAACCTCACCCATAGGGGAATGGTTTTCACGACCTCATCTTGTACATTAAAGTCATCTGACCAAGCCTTCATTATCATAGGTTTGTTGTTAGTCGTATGTGGACCAGAGTATAACACTTGATCCCTCTCCTCTAAATTAGTGAATCTTATTACAAAATATCCCTCATTATGATAGAAGATTTGTGGCTTCACTGAGAACTTACCCACTGAGGTCAGAAATCGATCCATTGCTCCAATTGTGGGTGTTTCCCCAATCACATATAGAACAATAGCAGACCTCCATTTCTCAGTTTCTAGTTCGACATCTTCCATTTCTAGCTTAGCAATTTCCCCCCATTTTGAACTGTTGGAGCTATGTACTGTAAATTCATACCTTTCATAGCCAACCTGTTGCCTGCAACCACATTTGCCCAGGATTGTTCCATGTTCATCTTCCTTGCTTCTCCTTGCTCACCATCTTTAATAGTACCTGAGCTGTATGGTACTGTTGCATTCTTATTCTACTTCACNGCTTCACTCCTTGTGTTTGTACTACCTTTTGCCCAGATCCTTCAATTATAGCTTGCTCAGCTGCAGGAGTAGTTGGAATTTCCTTCGATTTACCTTTGCTCAGCAACAGATCTGCTTCTACTCTGCTCAGCTCACTTTGTATGTTCTTAGGAGTACAATTTCCGCTTGGTTCCTCGATTCGTACCCCTTTTGGTGACATAAATAATTCTAACACAACATTCCTTGTTTCCGTTGATCTCTGATCATTCACTGGTATCTTCGTCTGATTCTGTTTGGGTCTGCCTCTCCCTCCATGGCTTCCAAGCACACGTTAGCAAGGCCACGTTAACGTGCGCCGAGAGAAATGTTAGAAGAGTACACTCATATACATTATTATACAAGATTATACATAGTTATACAAAAAAACCGACTTCGTCTTCTTCCTATCGTCTTTTTTGAAATTTTATTGAAATCTTGCTCAAATCTACTCCACATCACTTCAAATTTAAATTTGTGAACTCATTTTGATATTTTCAATCAATCCGAATATCACCAAATCCAAACAACTAACAAATTCATAAATGCCTATTTTCGAAAGCA